GCAGCTGCGGCGCAGGCAGGGCTGCCCGCGCCCCCGAAGGGACCAAATCCCTCTCCCTGGTGGTTTCTTTGGCGCTGCCGGGTGCGTCCTTGGAAAGGCCAAGGGACGCCGGGGACTCCTGGTCGGTTCTTGTGCCGGAGCCGCGATCCCCAGTGATGCTGCTTCAGGGGGAGGCTGCTGGGGGGGTGGCGTGGGGGGCAGATTGTGCCCTCAGCTGGGCAGCTGCGTGCTGGGGATTGAGCCAAAAGTGGCTCTTGGTGGCCCTTCTCGGGTGGGAATCGCCGCCGCTTGGTCGCAGGAGCCCGGGTTGGTCCCCGCCGCGTCCTCGGGGGTTGGGTTTTTGTTCCCCCCGGGGTGGTTGATGAGCCTCAGCGAAGCCACTCTCGCTCTCATCCCTCCCTCTCGCCCCCTTTTCCAGGAGAAGGAGAAGAAATACATGTTGCCTTTGGATAATTTGAAAATCAGGGACGTGGAGAAGGGATTTATGTCCAACAAGCACGTCTTTGCCATCTTCAACACGGAGCAGAGGTGAGGGCTGGGAGCGGGAGCCGCCGTGGCTGGGCACCTCCCGCAGTCCCTCGGCTCTCCGGGTGTCTCTGCGGGGGCTGTGGGGGCTGTCGGCCACGCTCCGGGGCTCTGCCCTTCCCCTGGTCACCGCCGGTCCCTGCATCCGCCTTCCCTGGCGTCGTGCTCCGAGGCGGGAGCGTCTGGGAGCTGGCGGGGGAGGATTTCTCTGGAGGAAACAGCGGCTTGCCAATATTTATAGACACATTCGAGAGGGATTTCGGGCTCCCCGGTGCCGTCCTCACCCCCGGCTCTGCTCCTCTTCCCTAGGAACGTGTACAAAGATCTGCGGCAGATCGAGCTGGCCTGCGACTCCCAGGAAGATGTGGACAGCTGGAAAGCCTCCTTCCTCCGGGCGGGAGTTTACCCCGAGAAAGACCAAGTAAACACTCGCTCTGCCTCGTGCGAGCCCCCCCGGCACGGGCTGGCCGGGGGGTGCTGCCTGAGGAGCCGTCGGGCTTGGGAGCTCCTGGCTTGGGGCCCAGTAGGTTCTCGGATACCCTGGAAAATGCCGCGGTATCGCAGAAGAGGACGAACATTTTCTACCGCGGCGCTAGTTTGTGCCGCCTGACCGATGGATCTAAGTCGTTCCGGGCTACGAAATAAACTCTTTGTTTCAAAACAAACAAACAAAAAAAGCATCCACGTAGGATGGAAATAGGTGGACGGGACAGGGTCTAAGTGTGAAGCAGAGGGGTTTCTTTCTGGGGCTGTCAGATCCGGCAGTAATTTGTGCCCTGCTTTCCCTGAGCAGACTGAGAACGAGGACGGCGCCCAGGAGAACACCTTCTCCATGGACCCGCAGCTGGAGCGCCAGGTGGAAACCATCCGCAACCTTGTCGACTCCTACGTCGGCATCATCAACAAGTCCATCCGGGACCTCATGCCAAAGACAATAATGCACCTCATGATCAATAATGTGAGTTACTGTTAATAATAATTACTAATAATGTAGAGAGGATGGTGCTGGGCTCTGCCCCCAGGGGTCAGGGACAGGATGAGCGGGAACGGCTGGAAACTGCCCCAGGGGAGGGTCAGGCTGGGCAGGAGGAGAAAATGTTTCCCAGACAGAGTGGTCAGAGTGGGACAGGCTGCCCGGGGAGGGGGGAGTCCCCATCCCTGGGGGGTTTCAGGGCCGTTGGGATGAGCTGTGGGGGATGTGGGGTAGGGGAGAACTTTGTAGAGTCGGGCTGAGGGTTGGACTCGGTG